CCACTTCTATTCAACATAGTTCTTGAAACACTGGCCAGAGCAATTAGACAGATGAAAGAAATTAAAGGAATAAATATAGGAAAAGAAGAACTTAAAACTAGCACTATTTGCTGACGACATGATTATATAGTTAGAAGACCCAAAAGGCTCTACCAAGAAACTTCTAGAACTAGTAAATGAATTCAGCAAAGTGTCAGGATATAAAATCAACACCCATAAATCAAAGGCATTCCTGTATATCAGTGACAAATCTTCTGAAATGGAAATGAGGAAAACTACCCCATTCACAATGTCCAAAAAAAAAAAAAAGATACTTGAGAATCAACTTACAAAAGAGGTGAAAGATCTATACAATGAAAACTATAGAACCCTAGCAAGAGAAATCAAAGAAGACCTTAGAAGATGGAAAGATCTACCTTGCTCATGGGTAGACAGAATTAATATTATCAAAATGACCATACTACCAAAAGCACTATACAGGTTTAATGCAATTCTGTTCAAAATCCCAATGGCAGTCCTCATAGAAATAGAAAAAGCAATCATGAAATTCATCTGGAAAAATAAGAGACCCAGAATAGCTAAAGCAATTCTAAGCAGGAAGAGCGAAGCAGGTGGTATCACTATACCAGACCTTAAACTATACTACAGAGCAATAGTAACAAAACCAGCATGGTACTGGCACCAAAACAGGCTGGTTGACCAATGGTACAGAATAGAGGACACAGAGACTAACCACAAAATTATAATTATCTTATATTAGACAAAGGTGCCAAAAACATGCACTGAACAAAAGATAGCCTCTTCAACAAATGGTGCTGGGAAAACTGGAAATCCATATGCAACAAAATGAAATTGAACTCCTATCTCTCACCATGCACAAAACTTAACTCAAAATGGATCAAGGACCTAGGAATTAAAACAGAGACTCTGCCTCTAATAGAAGAAAAAGTAGGCCCAAATCTCCATCATGTCAGATTAGGCCCCAACTTCCTTAATAAGACTCCTATAGCACAAGAATTAAAACCAAGAATAAATAATGGGATTGAATCAAACTAAAAAGCTTCTTCTCAGCAAAAGAAACAATCTGTGACGTGAATAGAGAGCCTACATCCTGGAAGCAAATTTTTAACCCTCACACATCAGATAGAGCTCTAATCTCTAGGTATATAAAGAACTCAAGAAGCTAAGCACCAAAAAATAAATCAATAAATGGGCCAAGGACCTGAACAGACACTTCTCAGAAGAGGATATACAATCAATCAACAAATATATGAAAAAAATGCTCATCATCTCTAGCAATCAGAGAAATGCAAATCAAAACTAAGATATCACCTCACTCCAGTCAGAATGGCAGCTATTATGAAGACAAACAACAACAAGTGTTGGCGAGGATGTGGGAAAAAAGGTACATTCATACAATTTTCCAAATTGGCTGCACCAATTTGGAAAGCAGTATGGAGATTCCTTGGAAATCTGAGAATGGAATCACCATTTGGCCCAGCTATTTCCCTTCTCGGACTATACCCAAAGGACCTAAAAACAGCATACTACAGGGACACAGCCATATCAATGTTTATAGCAGCACAATTCCCAATAGCTAAACTGTGGAGCCAACCTAGATGTCCTCCAATAGATGAATGGATAAAAGAAATGTTGCATATATACTCAATGGAATTTTACTCAGCAATAAAAGAGAATAAAATCATGGCATTTGCAGATAAATGGGTGGCATTGGAGAAGATAATGCTAAGTGAAGTCAGCCAATTCCCAAAAAACAAATGCCAAATGTTTTCTCTGATATAAGGCGGGTGACTCATAGTGGGGTAGGGAGGGAGAGCATGGGAGGATTAGATTAATTCTAAACAGGGAAGAGGGTTGGGAAGGAAAGGGAGGGGGAAGGGAATTAGCAAGGATGGTGGAATGTGATGGTCATCATTATACAAAGTACAGGTATGAAGACTTGAATTGGGTGTTAACATACCTTATATACAGAGATATGAAAAATTGTGGTATATATGTGTATTAAGAATTGTAATGCAAAAAAAGTACACATGTACAATGGCATAAATTGGTGTGAACATACTTTATATACAGAGATATGAAAAACTGTGTTCTCTATGTGTAATAAGAATTGTAATGCATTCCACTGTTGTGTATTTAAAAAAATCAACTAAAAAAAAAAAAAAGAAATAAGCAGGTGCAAATTGCCTATAAGCATTTTGTGAGTCTAGATGTTTGGGCCTAAGAAGATACTATGTCAGGCACTGCAACATTATATCCTCATGAAATGACCAGGAAGATATAACAATTCAAAATTTGTAATTACCTAATCACATAGCTTCAAAATAGAAAAGCTAAAATAAATGAATCAAAAAGGAGAAATGTATAAATTTATGATTATACTGTTTTAACATATTTCTCAAATATAACAAGCAAATAAATGATACAGAAGATTTAAATAACACAATTAACAAATCTGAACAAACTAACATAAACCATATAACATTCTTTAAAAAGCTACAGAACATTTTCTTTTTCTCAAATACATATGAATTAGTTACTGACCACAGACTGGCCCACATAGCTAATCTAAAAATTTCAAAATAGTGAATCAAAATATTTCCCCAAATTACAGAAGAATTAAATCAGAAATCAATGAAAATGAGAAAGTTCCCATAGTATTAAAATGTAAGGCTGGGCGCAGTGGCGTATGCCTGTAATCCTAGCAGTTTGGGAGGCTGAGTCAAGAGGATTGGGAGTTCAAAGCCAGTCTTAGCAATGGCGAGGTGCTAAGCAATTCAGTGAGACCTTATCTCTATTTAAATAAAATACAAAAATGGGCTTGGGATGTGACTCGGTATTCAAGTGCCCCTGAGTTCAATTCCCAGTACAAAAAAAAAAAGTATATGATAACCATTAAACTAAAATATAAAAAATGAGTAACAATAAAAATTAGAAAATTATTTTGAACTAAATGATAATAAACATACAAAATTAACATTTGTGAGATAAAGTTAATGTTATTTTGTGAGGAAAATTAGTGACTTTAAATGACTTCAAATATGAAGCAAAAATATCTGAAAAATAGTGATTTAGATATGAACTAAGTTGTTTTCCCCTAAGACTTACGTAGAAGCCCTAGTACTCAATGTGACTGTATCTGGAGATGGAGCATTTATGGAGATAATAAATTTCTTTTGTCTAAACCATCTAGTCAGTGGTACTTTGTTTTGGCAGCCTGAACAGACTAATACAGTATTGATCTTAAGATGTTAAAAAAATAATCAAAGTAAATCTAAAGAAAGATGACATAATATAAAATAAAATAGAGTAAAACTGGTGAAACTGAAAATACATGTATAAAAGATATCATCAAAGAAACCATGATTTTCTTGTGTAAAAAAGCAACTTATAAAATTGATAAACCTTTAGCAAAATTAATCAAGAAAAAGAGAAGGCACAAATAAACAATCCCAAGAATGAAAAAGGGCATCACCATAAATATATTCAAAATTTTAAAAAGGGTATTATGAATATATTTATGTCAACATGTTAGAAATTTCCAATGAAAAGATCACATTCTTAGAAAAACATAAAAATAAGGATAAACAGAAAAGTGAATTGTCCTATATGTAAAAATAAAATAGAGTTCATAATTCAAAACCTTCCTACAAAGGCAACTGCAGGCAAGGACTGCTTGGCTTCATTAGTAAACTCTATCAAACATCCAAAGAGGACATCATATTGATTCACATCAATGTTCTAGAAAATGCAATTAAGTATTTCTTAAGATTTTTAGTGAGCCAAGAATGCCTTGATATCAAATTATGAAGAGGAAATTACAAGATAGGAAAGTTACAGGCCAATCTCCTTCATGAATATTCAAACAAAAAGTTTTAAGCCAATAGCAAGTCAATTCCCAAAATGTGAAAGCGGCCTAATATTAAAAAACTAAATCATATAATCCATCCTCAAAATAAGATAAAGTCCCAAAGCCACATAATCATTTTCAATAGATAAAAATTGAAAGCATTTAATTTTTTAAAAATCAGCAAACTACTAGGAGTAGAAAGCAATTACCTTAATTTGATACAGGGCTGTTAATTCAAAAAAAATAGTAACAACAAGAACAACAACAAAACCCTAGAACAAAAAACACACTTAATAATAAAATTGTCCAGTCTCCTTTCTAAAAGAGAAATGAGATAAATCACTGGCCTATTGATAGTCAGGAACAAATAATAATAAAAGGGAAGAAAAACATTAGAATAGGATCAAATTAAGATGAATTCTGAAGGACAAATATAATTTTAAGAAAATATTTTCTGAAAGTCATTTATGTTATTAGAAAATGTTTGTATAAAACCTTATTATCTGAACTTGCCACTAAGAAATAAATTGTTAACAGTATACTTAATGGACCCTTAAATGTTTTCTACATAAGCAGTTAAATCTAAGATGACTGTCAGGGCAAATAATTTATCTCTTTATGAGGTGAATGCTGAAAGCACTTCTGTAAGCAAAGCTTTATCTTTTACAACTTAGTAGAAGCATATAGAGATGTGGACAAAATTAGACTACTTCTGGTTTATAATATTTCTGGATAAGATAAAGCTGGACAGAACTCACTTTTTTTACAATGAACATAAGGGAGGACTTCTATATAGTTTTGTTTTAAAGGAAGAAAAGTTTTGCATGTTTTTACTGGAGTAAATCTGAAAGATCCTGCTTCTTTGGGATAAAACTAGTTCTTTCTGGTTTCCAACTGTATTTAGCTTCTGGTTAGATTGAAAAAAAAAAAAAGAAAAAAAGAAATAGTAAAAGAAACAAACAAATAAAAAAGAGCCTAAATACTATATTTTAAATCACTGGCAGTTATTTTACAAATATAGAACAATTCTTAAAATCATCAAGGCTGATAATAATCTTTTAAAAAACACACAGACACACAAAACCAAAAAGAGTTCTGAGAACACTGTAATAATCAAACTAACACTTACGTCCTTTTGTGTTACTTCCCCATGGCTTTTTCCACAACTCCACTTTAATTTTCTAGAGCCCACTGGATCAGCCCAGGTATAAAACACTGCTTTTCCAGGAGGAAGGGAATCTTCAATATCACTGAGACAACTGTTAAAAGTAGCAAAAATAGGTATTAAGTTAAATGCAACCAGATAATATATCAAAAATACAAGATAATATATAATTCTTAGCCCATTGAGATTTGTAGAAATTCTGAATTAGACAAATTTTCCTTATATAATGAAATAAGCAATCTCTAAGAAAATATTTTAAGGAAAGCATCTCACTTAGGAAATAAAGATCTTCAAGTTTGAAATGAATGTCAATTTTTGTGTTTTTTTTTTTTTTTTATTTTATTTTATTTTTTTAATTTTTTATTGTTGGCTGTTCAAAACATTACATAGTTCTTGATATATCATATTTCACAATTTGATTCAAGTGGGTTATGAGCTCCCATTTTTACCCCATATACAGATTGCAGAATCACATCAGTTACACATCTTTTGTTTTAATTCAAATTATGGAAAAAATTTCAACTATTTTATATGATTCATACTAAATCTAAGAGAATTTAACTGGCAACTGTTCCCTAAGTGTTAGTTACTGTGGCAAAAACAGGTTTGGCTTAGTTATTTTTAAAATAATAAGATGTGAGACACAATATAAGAAATTCAGCTCATTCACAAAAAGATTTCAATAAGAAAAACAGAAATTATTTAATCAAAGAAGTAATAAATTAAAGTTTTTCTGAGCCAAATAAATTTACCCTGCAGATTAAAAGACTTCACTGGCTATCAGATAATATTAACGAAAACAGAATATGATCCTATGCCTATTTAGTAAAATATTTAAATTAAAAAAAAAAAGGGAAGAGAAACCCTTGTAAACATTCAGAAAAGCCAGTTACTTGCAAAGGAATAAAAATGAGCTTTTAGAAAAAAAATTCTATAAATTAGTGAGAAAGTTCAAATATACAGACAGAATGCTATGAAATAGAAAGTGAGCCTTCACCAGATACTCAATCTGTCAGTGACTCGATCTTAGACTTTCTAGCCTCTAAACTGTGAGGAATAAATTTCTGTTATTTACAAAAAAGTCCAAATAGACTAAGACAGAATTTATGTTTTTTTATAATATAATTAAAAAACAAGACAAAACAGGAAGTATCCTTTCTCAATATCTCAAACAAATGAGACAATGATAGACAAGGAGGACTTCTAGGTACTTCTTAGACTAGTTCTATGGTCCCTATTCAATACATGTTTGATTTAAATCAATTATTATAAGTTTTACATTTGGAAGCGAAAGAAAAGTATAAATACACTAACAGATATGGGTCCATTAAAAAGTAAGAGATGAAAACAAAATACTCAGACACAGTAAATTCAGGATAACCTGGAACCACTAAGTAGTGGAACATAGAGTTGCATAAACTACAGTAGCATCAAGAGGGTATGATATCACACAAAACTGAAATAAACAATTTTAAGATTAGTCCTATACCATCAACCTTGAGTTTTGGTATTTAGGAAGCAGTTCTTTTCCCATACACTTTAGCAAGAAGAGGATATCTGAAAAAAATCTAAAATTTTATAATTACATTATGCTTATTAACATATGAAAATTTCAAAAAGACCAAATTCTGAGACTCTGAACAAACCTTGACATTTTTCAACAGGCTAAAAAATGATCCAATATGATATGTCAAGAGCTTTGTAATGTTTTGAACAACTAATAAAAAAAAAAAAAAAAAAGAAATAAGACGCAGAAAAAAAAAAAAACAAATAAAAAATGATCAAGCTTTGGCTATACTAAACTCTTCATGATTCTTTCTTTGAAGCATTTGAAAGTAAATTATGAAGTTGGTTTGATCCCTACAAACTTGAGTATACCTTTCTTTAAAAGTAGGACATTGTTTCTTATAACCACAATACCATTATCTATGTTTATATTCATGAGAAATCATTATAAATGTCTCATTACCTAGATTCGGCTAATCAGGAGTTACCATATTTGTGATAATCTTCTTACCTTTGTTGGTACTGAACAAGATCATTCTTAGTGTGATTTATTAACAGGAATGTAGCTGCTCCATCATGGTAATCTGAAAATGTAATAATGGTTGAATGCTCAGCCAAATTAACTTCTGCTATGATACCTCCAAGCTAAAAGAAAGGAAAACAGTCTTTAATGTGATAATTTCCCCAAGATTATTATTAATAACATGTAGTAATAAAATTATTCATAACTTGATAATTTGGAAGACAATTTAGAAAATAAGCATTTTATATTGCATTTCTGGGAAACAATGAATCCTTTTTGTATGCAGATTTGTGGAATTCTAGATCGCCTATCTAGCATCCTAGGCACTCCAACTCACTTTCTGTGTAATAATTAATTTATCTTATATTTCTCTTTTTTAAAATTTTTTAATTTTTAAAAAATTTGTTCTAAGGCTGGGGTAGTAGCTCAATGGTAAAGCGCTTGCCTCGCAGGCTTTAGACACTGGGTTTGATTCTTAGCACCACATAAAAATAAGTAAATAAAATAAAGATACTGTGTCTATTTGCAACTAAAAAATATATATTTTTTAATTTTGTTAAATATTTCTCTTTTTTTTGGTACCTTTTCCCTTTTAAAAAGAAATGTTGGTTCATTTTTAGTGAGAGGGGAAAAACAGATAATTGTTTTAAAGAGTAAAATAAAATACTAGTAAATACACAGTAGCTTTTTCAAAGATTCTTGTGAAAAGATAACTTACCTCATTATTCAGACGCAATAAAATACAATTTTCTTGCTTGTTAAAATATATCCTTTTTGGAGGACCTTCACTCCTTTCAACTTGAATAAGAAGTTTACTGCCAGCATCCTCAGGCCAAAAGGGGATACACTAAGAACATATATTACATATATTTATAAAAATAAACAGATCTTATCAAAAATACTTATATTGTTGTAATAAACTCATCATAGTAGTAAAATAAACTTCAAAAAATCTCTGTCAGCTGGGCATGGTTGCGAATGCCTATAATCCCTGGGACTCAGCAGGCTGAAATAGGAGGTTCTCAAATTCAAGGTCAGCCTCAACAACTTAGTGAGACACTGTCTCAAAATTTAAAAAAGTAAAATAAATAAGGGCTGGCAATGTAGCTCAGCAGTAAAGCCCCCTGGGTTCAATCCTGAGTACCCAAAACAAACAACAACAAAACCACCAAACTCTTTCAACATTGTTATTAGGTTGCTTAGCTGAACAGCTATAAACTGTCAATTTAGAAATGGGTTATCACTTTCAAGTACTAAAAATACAAGCAGCAATGAGTAATTAAGTTGAAGAGCAAAGATAAGTAGGGTGCTTGGAAGAAAACAGACTTCTTTCAGAGAAATGTTGAAAAATCAGCAACTAAGCTGAGTCAGAAACTAGGAAGCAGATGTTGAGTTTAAAGCAAAGGTTCATTTAATTACTAAAAATATAAATCATGTTTGGATATTATTTGTTAATTAAGTATAAGTACACACTATTGATGAGTCAGAAAATGTAATTAGGCTCTTAATATTATTAAGAGTAAAAAAGTAATCTAAAATTCATAGAAGGAAAGAAGCTTGGAATCTCAAAACAATTGGACATCTGTGATTTGGAAATCAGGCTAAAGACAGAGGAGACAGTGAAGGCACCAGAAAAAAAGACTGGAGGACAGAAACTGGAAACAAAGACAAGAATTAAAAATACAAGATTGAGAACTAGCCTTCTCTATAAACTATAGTCAACTCCATCTTAGGTCCTGACCAGATTGGTCACTTGATTAGTCATGCAGTGTTTTCAAAGAGCCTTTTCATGTATGATACCTGATCTTTATCATATATGACCTGGGACAATTCTTTTTTCCCCTTTTTAGTTGTACATAATGGTGGGATTTGTTGTTACATATTTGTACATGCACACAATGTAACAACAGAATTTGACCAGTATCATGCCCCAGTACTTTCTTTTCATCTCCTCTTCCCTTCCCTTAACCTCCCTTTGATTTTCATAAGATACTCTCCCCTACACAAACATCTTTTTTTTTTCTCTTTCCTCTCTAGTTTCCATAATGACAGAAAACTTTCTGAGTATGGCTTATTTCACTTAAAATAATGTTCTCAAGTTCCATCTATTTTTCTGCAAATGACATAATTTCATTCTTCTTTATGACTAAATAAAATTCTACTGTGTACATATACCACATTTTCTTTATTAATTCATCTAGTGACATACAACTAGGCTGATTTCATAGTTTAACTACTGCAAATTGTTCTGCTATAAACACAGGTATGCGTGTATCTCTACAGTATACTGACTTTGATTCTTAAGGATAAATACTGAGTAGATGTATAACCATGTCATATGGTATTTCTACTCTTTTGCGGAACCTCCATACGGATTCCCATAGTGGTTGTACTCATTTGCAATCCCACCAACAGTGTAAAAGTAATCCTTTTTCTCCATACCCTCTCCAGCATTTATTATTTTTGTATTCATGATGGCTTCCATTCTAACTAAAGGGAGATGAAATCTCAGTGTAGTTTTGACTTGAATTTTCCTAACTGCTAATGATCTAGAACATTTTTTCATGTATTTGTTGGCTATTTGTATTTTTTCTTTTGAGAAGTATTTGTTTAGTTCTTTTGCCCATTTATTAACTGGGTTATTTGGGTTTTGGTATTAAGGTTTTTGAGATCTTTATACATTCTAGATATTAATCCCCAGTCAGAAGAACAGAGAGCAAAGATTTTTCCCAATTCCATAAGCTATCTCTTCACAGCTTTAGTCATTTACTTAGCTGTGCAAAAGCTTTCTACTTTGATGCCAATCCATTTATTAACTCTTGGCATTATTTCCTGAGTTTTACGGATTGTACTGAGAAAATCGCTGCCTGTGCCTATATGTTAAAGAGTTGACCCCACATTTTCTTCCAGGAATTGCAAAGTATCTGGTCTAATTGCTATGTCTTTGATACATTTTTGAGTTGATTTTTGTGCAGAGTGAGAAATAAGGAAATAGTCTCATTATTCTACATGTTGATAATTAGTTTTTACCTGGGGACAATTCTGTAGTAAAACTAAGCTAAATGTCTTAGCTTGTTAAAGTCGGTTTTATTCAACCATGAAAGGTAGAATTAGTTATTGAACAAGGTTAAGGATGTAAGAGGTTTACTATGATCCCCCCCCATCCCGTCAAGACTTCCTGTATCCTAGCAGGTACTTACCCGGGAGAGTCAAAATAGAAACAATACAACTAATCCAAGCATATTTCTTGTGAAGAACTGAAAAGACTAAAAATGTTGTATATTTTGGACATCCCCAAGGCTATAATTCCTTGACAGCCTTGGCTTAATACTTGAGTTTAATAATGTACAATGTATTGAGCTTAATAATGTATAATGTATTTAAAACTGTGAGGCCTCTTGAGGCTCAATAAAGTGCTAACGTTTTTGTCTTTTGTAGAAGGGAAACAGAGAAATATAGATAAGGTTAAAAATCAAAAACAGTGATAATCATGAGTATTTTTCTTTCTTTTGGTGCTGGGGATTGAACCTAGGGGCATTTCACTACTGAGTCACATTCCTAGCCTTTTTTATTTTTTGAGACAGGGTCTCACCAAGTTGCTTAGGCCTTGCTGAGCTGGCTTTGAACCTGCAATTTTCCTGCCTCTGCCTCCTGAGCCACTGGGATTACAGGTGTGCGCCAACACGCCTGGTGAGTATGCATCTTAATATGATAAGGTTGATCAGTATGAGTCAAATTAGAAACATGCTTACAGTCCCAGCTACTTGGGAAGCTGAAGCAGGATTGCTTGAGCCCATTAGTTTGAAACAAGCTGCACACCTGTAATACCAGTTACCTGAGAGCCTGAGACAGGAAGTTCACAAGTTTGAGGTCAGCCTTGGCAAAATCCTCAGCAACTCAGAGAAACCCTGCCTCAAAATAAAAATAAATATAAAAGGACTGAGGATGTAGTGCAGTGGTAAAGTACTGGTTTCAATCTCCAGCACAAAAAAAAAAAAAAAAAAAAAAAATTAAAGCCTGAGCAACAAAGTGAGACCCCATTCCCCTATCAAGAACAAAAGGCCAAACAACAAAATTAGAACTTAAAAAATTCAACACATGAAAGAAAATTTATTTCTTAGGCTGAAATGATAAACAAAAACAAAAAAAAAAAGCAAATTTTAAAGAGTCATTAAGCATTTGAGATTGAAATTAATGTAAATATGAACTAACTATTGAAAGACATTCTACAGATAAGGTTTTCATAGGATAATCAAGACCTGACAATATCTGAGAGACACAGATACATCAAGACAGAAATGTTATCACAAAATCACGGAAAAAATATGTGTAAGAAAAACATAAAGCTAATGAGATTATGTGGAACACTCACAAAAATAAATCATATATTAATTCAGTAAGCATGTTTTGAAAACATGCTATGTTTAATCTTTGACCAAAACCCTCCTAAAGCTCCCCATTTCACTCGGTTAAGGTAAAGTCCTTGTAAAGGCTTACAAAGTTTTGTATAGTTATCCTTCATTACCACTATGCTTTTCCTCTACTATTTTTCCCTCTCCAGTATCACTGGCCTCTTTTGATATCCCTCAAACGTGTCAAATACTTTCCCTCTTTAGAATCCCTATTCTGGTTTATCCTTCTGTGTCTAATGCTTTCTCCTCAAATATTCCATCAGGCCTCACAAGGCTAACTAAGTACCCTCGCCGTTCCAGAGTTGGTACATAGCCAGAACACTGTGGTTTCAAAGACAATCCCCCTCATTTCTCCCTCACACAATACTTTTAGATATACCTGCATTTCTAGCCCAGGCACTTTCATTTGGAGGTCTCTCTATCTGGGCCCATGAGCAGAGGAGTTCCTCAGAAGCCTCTGCCAGAGGTTTATCTGAGAAGAGGAGAAGCCCTGAAAACTCTTTCTCAGTGCTCAGTATTTTTCTACTCCTGCCCTCTTTCATCCCTCAGGTTCATAAAACTGCCAAAGCCTTTTGTTAAGGAGTCCTTCAACAGGGAGACAACCCCAATGTCTGGGCTGATCCACTTCATCCTAGAAGGGGAATGTTCCTAGAAGGGAAAATGGAACAAGGGGATGTAAGTGCCCTATCTGGTTTATTTAGCCTCTTGCTTGGACTATTCAAAGTAAATGATTAAAAGTTTGACTGTGTTAATTCATTCTGGCTTGTTGTCTTAATCAATTACTCCTATATTTGTCAGCTCAGCTGAGCTCTTGACAGCTACTCTCTCATTTCCTGCAAGCTTTTGTTCAAAGGTGACTTCAGTGAGTTCTGATCACTTCACTAAAACTAAAGGTCACTCCTTGCTCTTCAGAATGTTTGATATTCCTTATCTTACTTGATTTCTATTTCTCTCATTAGACTTGTAACTTTCTTATACATTTTATTAACTGATTAGGGTATTATTGATTTATTGTTTTTCTTTGCACCCACTGAATTGTAAACTACCAAAGACAGAAACCTGATATTTTGTTAACAGATGTAATGCAAGTCACATAAAAAGTACATGGTAAGGAGCTGGGGCTGTAGCTCAGTGGTAGAGCACTTGTCTGGCACGTGTGAGGAACTGGGTTTGATCCTCAGCACCACATAAAAATAAAATAAAGGTATTGTGTCTACCTACAACTAAATATTTAACAACAAAACAAAAACAAACAAAAAGTCCATGGTAAGTATTCACTGAAAGAATGAACAGAATTGAAAAAGGTGGAACTTCTGGAAATGAGAAATATATTTAAATAAAAAATCAGTAGTTTAAGTCATAAATAGCAGTTTAGACACAGTAAAAAAAAAAAAAACAAGAAAGAGATATACAAAGTAGAACTCATCCAGAATGTAGCAAAGAGTTAAAGACATGGAAAAGACAAAAGGAATATTAAGATATATAAGATACATGAAGGAGAATCTGAACATCTAAAATGTTTGAATAAAGATGCAGTAGGAAAATAAAAACAGACTAAAGGAAAAGCAATATTAAAAGACACATAAGTTTCAAGTTTTATAGAAAGTAAATATTCTATCAACCTAAGTCAATTGTTTAGAATCTTTTATGTAGATCTGACAGCAAATGATGGTACACAATCAAAATTTCATAAGTTACTTCAAATAATTTGAAGGAAAGTTTGGCTTAATCTACTCTGTATGAAGGCAATTCTAAAAGAGAAAATAAATCATTTCCTCCTCTTTGATGCCTCTATACCTTAACTAATTCTATTAGTATATTTAAACTATATTTAACTGAACAAGCTATGCATTCCTATAGAGAAAGGTCTAGTTTTTGATAATTAAATATTGAAAGCCTAGTACAAATACTCAATAAAAGTTCATGGAACTGATTCAAAATTGGGGTGGGGGAGGGTTAAAATTTCAGGCATCTAACTTCAAAAAAAGAGAATTCAAAGAGGTACATTTTTGAAATTCATCTACCCACCTGCTCCAATTGAAGAGAGAGCCATTTATCACTTCCCTCTTCAGCCACTGATATATGATATTTGCTCTTGTTTTTAATCATATAAAAAGGAGTAAATGTCACAATTCTGGTAATGTTAAAACTGCTAAGGTTTATAGTGACACCAACCTAAGGGAAAAAAATTAACAGTTAAAGACTGTTATATTATTATAATATCCTTATAAACTTTTCTTAAGTAACCAACAGATATTTTAAATAAAAGTTGCTTGAACGCAGAATGAACTTACTTGATATTCCATTTTTGGGCCTTTGCATTTAACGGCTCCATGACTACCAACAGTATCAATTGAAAACTGATCTGACAACCCACTATCAGTTACCATAAGCTGAACCTAAGAAAAAATATTTTAAAGATATTACAAGTACCTTTAAAAATTTTTACTTAAATTGACAATTTAAAACTTTTTTTGCATAAACTAAATATTACATTAATACACAAAACCTTTCTCAACATTAAATGTTAAATCTACTTAACCTCATGTACAAATGTTATTTCTACCTAAGTTTCAAAGTACTTTAGTGCTCCAAATAGGAATCATAAAAGAGAGAAGAGCAAGAGTAAGAAAAAAGTTACATACCTTATTGGTATAAAAAAAGTGATTTGGCTGAAAAGAAAAGAGAACTGGCTTTTTGTAATTAGGTGGATGCTTTCGATGAATTCCATCTGCTTTGTATTGTAACATTCGGCCAGTTTTATTGACCATCCAGTATGGACTATGAAATGCCACGATTGCCTGACCAGTGTTGTAAGTCATGTGGATAGCAATATCTAAATCAGTCTTTTCCATTTCTGTAACACAGGTAAAACTGATGAAACTAATGTCTTGTTGATTAGATTTTATATAAAATTCACTTTTCCAATCATGATTAAGATAATCAAGCAATTTTAAATGTAGTTTGGTTTTATCCACTTGTTCAGTATAAACCTGGGCTGAATATCCTTCATTGAGAGTAAAAACTGTATTTTCAATCCCCTGTAATGAAAAAATACAATAAATTTTGAAATGTCTGAATAATCATCCAAAAGTTCTATTTTATTATTTTAATGCTATACAAAAAACTCTTGAAATAACAATCAGAAACAGTTAGAAGACCTACACTGAAGTTCTAACTTTGCCAATGATGAAAACCTCTGTAAAATATGGAATCTAGACTTGAGTAATTGATTTGTAAAATGGTTTAAAAACTACTTCAAAGACTCTTGTGAAGAATAAGCAGTACGAAACTTCATTGGAAATTATATGTGAAATATTATAAATATAATTAGTAAAACAAAAACATCTACAAGTGATTATAGTTTGAAAACTACAAATTAACAAAAAACATAAAAAGCTAATGCTAATCCAAAATAATAATCTTTTTTTTTTGTTAATTTTTTTTATTGGTTGTTCAAAACATTATAAAGCTCTTGACATATCATATTTCATACATTAGATTCAAGTTGGTTATGAACTCCATAATCTTTACTGCCTTCCATTTCTGATGTGTTGTTGTTGTTCTGACAGCTGTGGGGAGTGACCCCAGGGGTGCTCTATGATCTAGCATTTTTAATTTTTTAAAAAATTGAAACAGGGTCTCCTTAAATTGCCCAGGCTGGCCTTGAACGTATAATCTTCTTGCCTCAGCTTCTCATGCAGCTGGGATTATAGGCCTGTGCCACAGTGCCAGGTTCCAATCTTGATTTTTACCAATCCATTCACACATATCCAACAACTATATTACATCTTATGTATCCCTCAAAACTGTTCATTGCTCTCCAACCATGCTTCCATTACCTGAATTCCTATCTCTATGACCTCTAAGTTTGAGTCTCTTAACCACACTTTCCTCTTCTATTCCCTTTTCCCATACTTATATAAATTGTCTTTATAAAAATTGATCACATCCTTTGGAAACTGGCAGACAGAATATGATTCCAAGAGCATCAAATCAAAAATTTTATAAGAATATAAATGTAAATAGTACATCTATGTATCTTACCAGTATTCTCAATATTTCTTTCCTGGTTTCTTATTACAATTAATATTGTTCATAACATAAGATGAAGGAATCTCTTCATCTTAAAATTTTTAATTAATTAAAGCAAAATATCAGCCACTGTTTCCTTATATGCTAAATAATATTTCACACACACAAAAATGATGGTGGTTGATGGTGGTGGTGCTGGAGTGCCTCTTAGTCATATGCTAAATTCTTTATGTACACCAACAAATAATTTCCCCATATCCTAACCATGCAAGTATTATTCACATTTTATATACTAGGAACAAAATATTATAAAATATAGCCTAAGAACATACAACTAGCAAATGGCAGAGTTAAAATACAATCTCAAATCTGACAGAAAAGTGCAACTAACTATCTGTCACTCATGTGGTAAACAGATATTCTTTAACCACAGATATGTCAACTCCCTTCAGCAAAGAATGTATTAGAAAGTATAGGAATATAATAACTCAAAAAGCAAAATGAATCTAGGATAAATATAATGAAAAAGTACTTTCTTTCATGTGATAAGTTTGAAAAATTGATTATTTATATGAAATCTATGATGGAGATATTACTTTTATAACCTTATGAGAAAACCATACTTAATCTGCTAAAATAAATTCGAGTATTTAAGGGAAAAAGCACCTTCAGAGGGCAAACAACTCTTTTAGGGAATTAGCATTAAATATAATACAAAGTAGCCAGCTTTTCTGCTTATGTATAGTACTTAAATGTTATTTCAATATTAATTCTCATACTCATTTCAAAAATTAGTATTCATCTTTTAAACAAATGATATATGAAATATACATGCAATATATTGTCTAAAACAAGTGATCTCATCAAATGATTATATGCAATTTTATTATCTCCATATTCTAAATTTTTAAGAGAACTGCATATTACTTTTGTTAAGTTATTTTATAAATGGCTTACCACAGTTGTGCAAATAATTTGTATTAGGCTTAACAGACTTCTAAGGTAAATTAGTGAAAAGTACTTTAATTCATCATTTTATACATGATTAAAACATTTCTACTTGAAGAATATCTGTTAGATATTCTTTATTACTACTATATAACATTTACTAGAACTTCAAAACAATTTTTATTTTTCATAATTTTAAGTAACTCAAGCTGCAAAGTCAGACAGGAAGACACAGACGCAGACACACACACACACACACACACACACACACACACACAAACACACATAAAATAATGATATCCCAAATCAAAAATACCTCAATATAATAAGCAATTTTATAAGGAAGAAGATTTCGAAGTAGGATGGGTGGCCACAAATGCATTATATAAGGTAAGTCCCAACCATCTTGTGAATATACTGACAGAGATGTCAAACTATCTTTTTCAGGGACGATATTAATAATAAATGATTTCTTAGAAGGGTTTGTAGATCTACATTTCTTCTTAAGAAGAGCTCCATCATTTGCTATAATTTCTTCAAAGTCAATTGGTTCACACTTTTGATAGTCCTCATCTTCTGGCTTCAGAAAAAGAAATGATCTGCATAAAAGATTAAACATTATAATTTAAAATGCCTTGAGAGAAATAGATGAACTCTAGATAGGGCAGAGGGTTGGGAGGAAAAGGGAAGGGGTAGGGGGTTAGCAAGGATGGTAGAATGTGATAGACATCATTATCCAAAGTACATGTATGAAGACACGAATTGGTGTTAACATACTTTATATACAAACAGGGATATGAAAAATTGTGTTGTTTATGTGTAATAAGAATTGTAATGCATTCCACTGTCATTTATTTTTTATAAAATCAATAAAAAATAAAATAAAATGCTTTACATTAAAAAACTATGATTACAGCTTTAGAATAATGAAATTATTTTGTTCCATATTGTTATAATAAATATTTAAGTTTTTGTATATTTTTTAGCCCTAGGTAATATCTTCTTAACTTTCTGGAAATCCATTATGTTATTTGGCTTTTAAGAAGAGAATATTTTTATTACAAATTTACTATTTTAAAAGTGTACTTATAATAACCAGAAAATACACAATCATACCAACCATATATGCAAGGCTAAACACGTAAAATCTCTTGTGTATTTTACTGAAAGAAGTTGGCTTTATGTCATCTTAACAAGAAGTAAATGTCACAACAGTGATCATAAAATTTAAAAAATTCTATTGAAAAATCATCACAGGCTTTTTAAAGTTAATGAAAGTTTTTGAAATAGTATGGAGATTCCTCAAAAACTAGGAATGTAACCACCATTTGACCCAGTTATCCCCTTCCTCAGGATATATCCAAAGAAGTCAAAATTAGCAGGCTACAGTGACACAGCCACATTAATGTTTACAACAGCACAATTAACAATAGCTAAGCTATGCAACCAACCTAGATGCCCATCAACAGATGAATGGATAGAGAAATTGTGGTATACACACACACACACACACACAGAGTGAGATATTATTCAGCCATAAAGAAGAATTAGTTTATGCCATTTGCTGTTATATGGACAGATCTGGAAACTATAATATTAAGTGAAAGCCAATTCCCAAAAAACCAAAGGTTGATACTTTTCTCTGATATGTGGATGGTAACACATAATAAGGCAAGAAGAAGAGAAGAATAGTTCAGTAGTATACACAAAGGGGAATGAAGAGAAGGGAGGATGTTTAGGAACAGGAAGGACAATAGAATGAATCCGACATAACTTTCCTATGTACACACACTACAGTGAATCTCACCATTGTATACATCCACAAGACTGGAATCCTAATTAGAATAAGATATATTCCATTGTTGTATAAATATATCAAATGGATTCTATTGTCCGGTAGAACTAAAAAAAAAACAAGTTTTCTACATATATTTGCAGAAATCTGGGGCACAGATATGGAGGAGTAGGTATAAGAAAATGATGACAGAATCCTGTGATACCAAATGATTAATACTTATATTTGAATATTACATTCTGTATTTACATTTCAACAATACCTTTAGGCATAATAATGCTTTATTTAAAGAAATTTTAAGAAGAGGTGTTCATTTATTTAGCAGTACTGGGATTGAACCTAGGGCACTCTAACACAGAGCTACATACATCCTCAGCCTTTTATTTTTATTTATTTATTTATTTGTTTGTTTATTTATTTATTTTTGTCTCTTTTTTAAAAATTCTAATTTGTTATATATGACAGCAGAATGCAATACAATTCATATTATACATATACAGCACAAATTTTCATATTTATGGTTGTACACAAATTTTATTCACATCATTCATGTCTTTATACATATACTTAGGGTAATGATGCCCATCTCATTTCACCATCTTTTCTATCCCCACACATTTGCCCTATCTAGAGTTTGTCTAATACTCCCATGCTTGCCCTCCCACCCCAATAGGAATCAGACTCCTTATATCAGAGAAAACATTCAGCATTTGGTTTTTTGGGACTAGCTAACTTCACGTAGCATTATATTCTCCAACTCCATCCATTTACCTGCAAAGGCCATGATTTTATTCCTTTTATTGCTGAGTAATATTCCATTGTATATATATGCCACATTTTTTAATCCATTCATCTACTGAAGGGCATGGAATCTAGGTTGGGTCCACATTTTAGCTGTTGTGAATTGTGCTGCTATAAACATTGATATGGCTGTGTCCCTGCAGTATGCTGTTTTTAAGTCCTTTGGATATAGACCCAGGAGTAGGATAGCTGGGTCAAAGGGTGGTTCCATTTCCAGTTTTCTAAGGATTCTCCAAACTGTGTCCATATTGGCTGCAACATTTTGCAGTCCCACCAGCAATGTATGAGTGTGTCTTTTTCCAAACATCTGCACCAAGATTTACTGTTGTTTATATTCTTTTTTTATATGTGACAGCAAAATGAATTACAATTCTTATTACACATATACAGCACAATTTTTCATATCACTGGTTGTATACAAAGTATACAAACACCAGTTTGTGTCTTCATACATGTACTTTGGATGATAATGTCCATCACATTTATAACCCAATCAATAAATGGGCCAAGGACCTGGACAGACACTTCTCAAAACATGATATACAATCAATCAACAAATATATAAAGAAATGTTCATCATCACTAGCAATTAGGGAAATGCAAATCAAAACTACTCTAAGATTTCATCTCACTCCAGTCAGAATGGCAGCTATTATGAAGACAAACAACAATAAGTGTTGACGAGGATGTCGGGGGAAAAGGTACACTCATACATTGCTGGTGGGACTGCAAATTGAAGCAGCCAATAAGGGAAGCAGTACGGAGATTTTTTGGAAAATTGGGAATGGAATCACCATTTAAACTAGTATCCCACTCTTTGGTCTATACATACACAAAGGACTTAAAAACAGCATACTACAGGGACACAACCACATCAATGTTTATAACAGCACAATTCACAATAGCTAAACTGTGGAGCCAACGCAGTTGCCCTTCAATAGATGAATGGGTAAAAATAATGTGGCATATATACACAATGGAATATTACTCAGCAATAAAAGAGAATAAAATCATGGCATTTGCCGGTAAATGGATGGAGTTACAAAAGATAATGCTAAGTGAATTTATCCAATCTTAAAAAAAACCAAATGCTGAATGTTTTCTCTGATATAAGGAGGCTGATTCATAGTGGGGTAGGGAGAGGAAGCATGGGAGGAATCAGTTAGAAATGATGGTGGAATGTGATGTTTATATTCTTAATAGATGCCATTCTGACTGGAGTGGGATGAAATCTTAAGAGTACTTTTGATTTGCATGTCTCTAATTGTCAGAAATGTTGAACATTTTTTAATATACTTGTTGATTGATTGCATATCATCTTCTGAGAAGTGCCTGTTCAGTTACTTGGCCCATTTATTGATTGGGTTATTTGGTTTTTGGTGTTTAGCTTTTTGAGTTCTTTATATACCCTACAGATTTAGTGGTCTATCTGATGTGTGAGTGGTAAAAGTTTAGGCTCTCTTTTCACCTCACTGATTGTTTCTTTTGCTTTGAAGTTTGAGTCCATCCCATTTATTGATTCTTGATTTTATTTCTTGCACTACAGGAGTCTTATTAAGGAAGTTGGGGCCTAATCTGACATGATGGAGACTTGGGCCTACTCTTTCTTCTAATAGGCACAGTGTGTCTGGCTTTAATTCCGAGGTCCTTGATCCACTGTGAGTTGAGTTTTGTGCATGGTGAGAGATAGGGGTTTTATTTCATATGAATTTCCAGTTTTCCCAGCACCATTTGTTGAAGAGTCTATCTTTTCTCCAATGTACATTTTTGGTGCCTTTGTCTAATATAAGATAACTGTAATTATGTGGGTTAGCCTCTGTGTCCTCTATTCTGTACCATTGGTCTACAAGTCTATTTTTGGTGCCAATACTATGCTGTTTTTGTTACTGTTACTCTGTAGTATGGTTTAAGGTCTGGTATAGTGATGCCATCTGCTTCACTCTTCTTGCTAAGGATTGCTCTAACTATTCTCGGTCTCTTATTTTTCCAGATGAATTTCATTGACTGCTTTTTCTATTTCTATGAGAAATGCCATTAGGATTTTGATTGCAATTGCATTAAATCTGCATAGTGCTTTTGGTAGTATGGTCATTTGGACAATATTAATTCTGCCTATCTAAGAACGAGGTAGATCTTCCCATCCTCTAAGGTCTTCTTTGATTTCTTTCTTTAGCATTCTGTAGTAGTTTTCATTGTATAGATCTTTCACCTCTTTCATTAATTTGATTCCAAAGTATTTTCTTTTTTTAGAGGCTATTGTAAATGGGGTAGTTTTCCTTGTTTCCCTTTCAGTGGATTTGTCACTGATAAATAGAAATGCCTTTGATTTATAGGTGTTGATTTTATATCCTGCTACTTTATGGAATTCATTTACTAGTTTTAAAATCTTTCTGGTGGAACAATTTGGATATTCTATGTATACAATCATATCATCAGCAAATAGTGCTAATTTGAATTCTTTTTTTTCCTATCTGCATCCCTTTAATTTCTTTCGTCTAACTGCTCTAGTCAGTGTTTCAAGAACGGTTAGATAGAAGTAGTGAAAGAGGGCATCCCTGTCTTGTTCCAGTTTTTAGAGGGAATGCTTTCAATTTTTCTCCATTTAGAATGATGTTGGCCTGGGGCTTAGCATAGATAGCTTTTACAATGTTGAGGTATGTTCCTATTATCCCTAGTTTTTCTAGTGTTCTGAATATGAAGGAGTGCTATATTTTGTCAAATGCTTTTTCTGCATTTTGAGATGATCATAGGATTCTTATCTTTAAGTCTATTGATGTGATGAATTCCATTTATTGATTTCTGTATGCTGAACCAAACTTGCATCACTGGGATGATCCCAACTTGATCATGGTGCACTATCTTTTTGATATGTTTTTGTATTCAATTTGCCAGAATCTCATTGAGAATTTTTACATCTATGTTCATTAGAGATATTTGTCTGAAGTTTTCTTTCTTTGCTTGCTTTGTAATCAGGGTGATACTGGCTTCATAGAATGAGTTTGG